CCTAGGTTTTTGTATAAGAAGAGGATTGATTGGTGTCATGTACATATTCCTTCATTTCTGTTTATGCAAGATAATAAGAGTATTAACATGGAGGTGGTGTTTATAATTCCATCACCACTGTTTATATAAGATAAAAACAGTGCTTTTTAAAAAGTAAAATGGTGAGAGAACATTTGCTGTTATGTACATACATTAATTTCTTCCACTTCTGTTTATAAAGAATGGGGGATGAAAAGGTTTAACAAGTTGAAGTTAAGTCAATGCTGTTTATAATATGGCCCATGCTGTTTACCTAAGATAAATAAATTTAAAGTATATAATTTTGCTCTCTTCAGAGAGGGGAAATAAGGTGACAGTGTTTGCAGCTATATTGTGTACTTGTGACAGCTACAGAATTCTTTCCCTTATTAGGGAATATGCAAGATATATGTTAAATCATGACCAGATGAATATAATATGATTTCTTAAAACAAAGCAAACATCAGGATGACTTGACATGCATGAGGAGAACGTAGATTCCCTCAAGAGTTTTTGAACAGACAGGAGTAGAGAGATGGTGGTAGGTAAATGAATTTAATAGCCCCATGAATAGTAAACTCCTTGTGTTTGATATATGATCTATGCACCTTATTGAGCAAACTATTTTCTAACTGGTTTGCACAGCAGCCCCCCCCCCCTTATTGAGACTTAAGTATTTCTAGTTGTTGCTTATGATGCTTCCCTTACAATTGTTATAATGTTGTTTTTATATTTTATATGCTATGTTTTTAACTGTATGTGTTTGGCCTTGGCCCCATGTAAACTGCCCCGAGTCCCTTTGGGGAGATGGAGGCAGGGTATAAAAAGAAAGTTATTATTATTATTTGAAACACAACAAGATGACTCCACAGCAGACAAAATCACTCTGCTGGCTGTTGTATTAGGTCACATGTAGGACACTTCCCAAGTGTCTAGGACCATGTGATGTATCAGCAAATAATGCATGCAGATCCCACTAAGGTGGCCTTCTGCAGCTGGCAGATGGTAATTTTGTCAGCGCCGATTGTGTTTAAGTGCAGGTCAAGGTCTTTAGGCACTGCACCCAGTGTGCCGATCACCACTGGGACCACCTTGACTGGCTTGTGCCAGAGGCTTACAGTTCGATCTTTAAATCCTCATATTGTGACAGCTTTTCCAGTTGTTTCTCTTCAATCCTGCTGTCACCTGGGATTGCAAAATTGACAATCCATACTTCGCTTTTCAACACGATCGTGAGGTCAGGAGTATTGTGCTCCAAAACTCTGTCAGTCTGAACTCGGAAATCCCAAAGTAGTTTGACGTGTTCATTTTCTGTAACTTTTTCAGGCTTGTGATCCTACCAGTTCTTTGTCGCAGGCAGATGGCATTTGTGGCACAAATTCAAATGAATCATCTGAGCAACGGTGTTATGCCTCTGCTTGTAGTCTGTCTGCATGATCTTCTTGCAGCAGCTGAGGATGTGATCTATTGTTTCATCTGCTTCCTTGCAGAGTCTACATTTGGGATCTGTCATCAACTTTTCAATTCTGGCTTTGATGGCATTTGTTCTAATGGCTTGTTCTTGGGCTACCAGAATCAGGCCCTCTGTCTCCTTTTTCAAAGCTCCATTTGTGAGCCACAGCCATGGGGTTTTGTTGTTGTTGTTGTTGTTGTTGTTATTTGCAAAGAACTTGTCCGTATTAAATAATTGTTTTTCTCTATAATTCTATTTTATTCCTAGAATAAATGGTAGTGAGAGTTTAATACTTGGAGTGGCTTCTTTTACTTACTTCAATTCCTAGAGTTTGCTGAAGAATTGTTAAATATATAGACTTTCTGCATTACAGATATTCTTTTCTGATTGCTGAATGTTTGTAAGTAGGCACCATGAAAAACATTGGTCCAAGAGGATTGGTGGAAGCAACCTTTCCTGCCAGCCGCTCCCCCTTAAAACCTTAAGACCCCAAGAAAATGTCTCCTGCAGATCGTGGGCCAAGTGGCGTTCTGTGTGGTGGAGTGGGAAAAATGCTGAAGGGGAAAGAAGGTTGTTCAAAATGAAGTATAGGCAGGGTTGCTGTGAGTTTTCCGGGCTGTATGGCCATGTTCCAGAAGCATTCTTTCCTGATATTTCACCCACATCTATGGCAGACATCCTCAGAGGTTGTGAGGTCTGTTGGAAACTAGGCAAGTGAGTTTTATATATCTGGGAAATGTTGAAGAAAGAACTCGTGAATGCAATTGCCACATTGATTAGCATTGAATGACCTCAGAGCTTAAAAGCTTGGCTGCTTTCTGCCTGGGGGAATCCTTTGTTGGGAGGCGTTAGCTGGCCCTGATGGTTTCCTGTCTCGAATTTCCCTCTTTTTGGGTTTTTTTTTTAGTATTGCTCTTTATCTACTGTTCTGATTTTAGAAGGTTTTTTTAAATACTGGTAGCCAAATTTTGCTCATTTTCATGATTTTCTCGTTTCTATTTTTTACATGAAAGGAAACAACAAGAAAATGATCTACTTGCCCAGCCGGCCCATGGGAAACGTTACTGGGCCAACAGAGTTACAGGGAAGGACTGGGCAGGAGAAAAGCAAATTGGTTGCCATCTTGGTGATGTGGGTGCCAGCTTTCTAACCAGAACTTCCTGCAGCCTGGGGAAAGGGCAGTTTTTGTTGGTGGACAAAGTTAGCCCATGAATTGGAACCATACTTTGAATCTGTTGGTTGGTGGGTCTGAAAGAGTGATGCAGATGGAAGTTTACTCTCCAGCTGTGTGTTTGAGTATAAATTTTGGTGTAATGTAAGCCAGGCTTTTGATCAGTTTGCGCTGAACTTCAGCCCACACTTTCTCCCTATATTATGTGTTTTCATGCATTTGCAAACCATGTTGTTACTACTTTGTGGAGATGGTTGGATCATGTTCCCAGAATCAAGTAATCCATGTCCTTTGGTCTTTGATAGCATATGGAAGACCCATTGCGGAACTTAGGGAATGTAGTTTTGTGTGGCATCACTCAGTAGGGAGTGGGTATACTATACTCCCTAGTGACTGGAAGACCACGTTGGGCATTTGCATAGCTGGATCTTTGCATGCCATCCCAAAGACTCCTTTGTTGGAATTGGGATTCTGGAATGGGGATTCCTGTGTGGCCTTCGCAGTAAATTTACAATACATGCTTGTATTGATAATATTGACTTGTACTCATCTTTAAACATGTTTCCATTATATTTAATGGAACTACTTGCTGCCAGTCTGCTACTGAGCACCATTCAAAGTGCTGGCTTCAGTCTATAAAGCCCTAAATTGTTCAGGCCCAGCTTACCTATCCAAACGTATCTCCTCCTACAAACCACCTAGGAGATTAAGATAATTGGGGGAAGCTCTTCTCTCGGTCCCGCTACCTGCACAGGTGCAACTGGTGGGAAAGAGGGACAGGGCCTTCTCAGTGGTGGCCCCTCAGCTGTGGAACTCCCTCCCCAGTGATTTTAGAGCAGCTCCCTCCCTCCTGGCTTTCAGGAGAAAAGTGAAAACCTGGCTCTAGAGATTAACTACAGTGCAAAAATTGTAGGTTTTTCGGGCTGTATGGCCATGTTCTAGAAGCATTCTCTCCTGACATTTTGCCTCCATCTGTGGCAAGCATCCTCAGAGGTTGTGAGGTTTGTTGGAAACGAGGAAAATTGGGTTTATATTTCTGTGGAAGGTCCAGGGTGGAAGAAAGACCTTTTGTCTGTTGGAGGTAAGTGTGAATGTTTCAATTGGCCACCTTGATTAGCATCTGATGGTCTGAATGCTTTTAGAACATGGCCATACAGCCCGAAAAAGCCTACAACCACCCATTGATTCCAGCCATGAAAGCCTTCAACGATACATATGTGCAATGATTTTTGGAGTGGCCCCAAATTACGATTGTAGACAGCATGATTTTAATAGCAATGATAATGTTTATATGTTTTAATATGCATTTTAACTCTAATTTTTAAAATGTTAACTTAAATGTATTTAATTTTTTTGTACTCTAAAGGCTTTAAATAGTTGCCATTTGTAAAGCCACCTTGAGAGCCCTTCGGGGTAGAGAAAGGTGGGATTGAAATAGAGTAAATAAATACATAAATAAATTTGTTCTTAAGGCTTTACCTGGCGCTGAGTTTAAATTGAGAGAGCCTTTGTGGGCATGCTTATTCTGTTCATTCGGGATACACTGTGGTCAGTAGTTCTTCCTATCTCAGTAGATTGTGAATACATATATTCTATTGGGTTCAATTATTTATTAACCTTTTTTATAAATACAGGCAGAAATCTCAATCATTCTGCTCCCTTCATAAACATAGACAATAGTTTATTTGGAGGAGAACCCCTAAGCTGAAAAAATGCTACATGCTTCTGGTATAGTTATGACCTTTTTGAGGAACTGAGCAGTGGAATAACAAAACAAAAAAGACAGAAGAGTATGCATGTTCAGGCAGTGTACTTGGAGAATGGCGGAGACAGAGCATTATTTGTACATCATTTGCTTGTGCCAAGCTTTTGTTACAGAGTCCAAAATAAGTCAGTTTCACATGACTAAAACTGAAGTAATAAGGAGCACAATGTATTTAAGAGGTATCTTTATTGCTACCTTATTTTCCATTCTGGGCACATGTACCCTTCAATAAGAGTGTCGTTAGATGCTGGAAAGAAAACCTCCCAGCTCTTTTCTTATCATGTACCAAACTACAGAAATGAAATCATATTTTAAAATGCATTCAACAAAAACTAGGACTTGGCTGGTTCCAAGAATACATTTCTGTCCCAAAGAGATTTTTAGTAGGCTCGTATGCTTAGAGTCTAAATTAATGATAGTGCTTTTCTTTTCCTAAGCCATGACAAAAGCCACTCTACACTTTTATGTATCATGTTAAAGTTTTTGTCATGAACATTTTCTATAAAAGCCTTTTCTGCTTCATCATTTTGAAAGATAATTCTACTATATCTTTCATGATCATCATGTTCTCTTTTTAACTTTTTCAATTCCAGAAAACAGCAAACACTTCTGAGTTACACAGCAGAACCAAACAGGCACAGAATCATTTGCTGTAAGGTAAGCCATCTGTGTAGAAGTCTGTAATGAAAAATGTAAAACCATATGCATTTCCTGTTATCAGCTGCAAACTGAGCTTTGAAAATTATGAGGCATCTGTGGCTATTCAGTGAGCCCTGTCTCCTTGATCAAGCAGGCACTTTTTGGAAATGGCATATAATGAAACAATTAACCTCAGTTGCTTTGGATCCCTCGTGTTTGTCTTTATAAATTTACAGAGGTGGGCATTGAAATGTGCCATAAATTCCTTTTCAGTTGTTAGCTTTTCCCACTGCTTTCTTGACTCTTCCCTTTTTAAAGTGCAGGACAGAAAGTTAGCTGTTGCTACCAATGTTGTAATTTTGTATGTGTGTGTGTCAGGAGAGCCTTAAGAAACTGCAAGTAGCTTCTGGTGTGAGAGAATGGGCTGTCTGCATGGACATTGTCCAGGGGACATCCAAATGTTTGATGTTTTACCATCCTTGTGGGAGGCTTCCCTCACGTCCCCACATGGGGATATGAAGCTGATAGAGGGAGCTCAACCCACTCTGTTGGTCAGCAGTCCTGCTAGCACAAAGGTTTAACCCATTGCACCCCTGGGGGCTCCTAAGTGTTGAAGTGATGCCAGGACTCACATAGCCAAATGCCAGGACTATTTGATTAGCTAGTATGATGGTGTGACCTGCCACCCCTTTCAGGCTTTTCTGTTGTCTCCGAGCTTAACTTCAGACTACCTGAACCTCCTTCCAGATACACTACATTGCTCATCTCACCCAGTGTTTTTAAACGTTTTAATATTTGCAACTGGCCCTGCCCATTGTGTCCTGTTATTGTGGTTTTATATCGCATTGTGTGTTTACTCTGTGTTGCTTTTTGCATTATTATTTTAATTATATTTTATTGCTGTATTTTTATGTTGTATATTTGCTTTGTTGTAATTGTTGGGCTTGGCCTCATGTAAGCCACCCCGAGTCCCCTTGGGGAGATGGTAGCAGGGTATAAATAAAGTTTTATTTATTTAGTTTTATTAACTGAGAAACTGGAGACTGAGTGGATGGATGTCCCCAGCAACCACTTATAGAAACAGATTATGAGCAACAGAACTGTAACATGCACACAAATATAGAACTTTTATATTTTCCTTCCCCTAACCAGCCTTTTTCTTGCTTTGGTGATCAATACTGGAAATCAGAAACATTTGCTGATTTGCAAACTCCTTGAACACCTATCAGTGGAACTCAACCTGTAAGCAGTGTCTGGGTTCAGAGGCAATATCCTTCAAACCTATTTCAATTGTCCAATGGTTCATTCCTATGTAGCCAAAAGAACACTATCCATACAGCGAGAAAAAGCTGTCTGGACACCCCCCCCCCAAGTACCAACAATTAGATATATACACCCTAAAAATCTCAATGAAAAATTGGCGTAGAATGTTGACCTTTGGAGGGACCAGGAATGTGAAATCAAGAAGAAGGATCAGGGGATTAGAGTACCCTGGAAGAAAGGTAAAATGACAATTTCCAATGGTGAGGAGGGACAGGCATGCACACTACAATGCTTTATTATAAACTCCATTGAACAACAATTGTTAGGAGTAAAAAGAGAGGGAAAGCATCCCATCTTGTTCTGCTTGTGGCCTTCTCAAGAGGCGTCTGCTTCAGCGTGGTGAGAATTAGGATGCTGGCCTAAACAAGCCTCTCTTTTGAACAAACAGCACTCTTGTGGATGCGTGTGGAAAGATTACCAAGGGAACAGCCCTTTGAATACATAGAGTGCCGAGTTGTTTTAAAGATATGCCCAAGATTTTTCCCTCATGTTAACTATGTGTCCAGACTGATTTGAGGGTTGTTTGCCAGCACGTAACTGCATTGATTCCTAATAATTAGTTTCCATGACTTCTCAGTGTATTAATTTTGTTATATTTTATGCATCTTTTATACCCCATCGGTTGTAAAAGATCCATGCCTCCTTGAATACTTCGTAACATGTCAGAGGTTGCTGCACTTGTTGTGAGTAGATTTGTCTGATGTGCGGGCCAGTTAGTTGCTAGGCAACTTTTTGATTTAGCCTCATGGAATACAAAGCCTTTACTGTTTAATGCAAATAAGTGTAAGAAGAGATAGGCAATTGGCTTGTGATGGCGTGTGTGTGTGTGCGCGCACACATGCAAAATGATTAGTACATATGGCAGAAATGATTTTCAGTTCCTGGATCACAAATCACATATTTATATTTGTGGATAAGTGTTCTGAATAAAGCAATAAAGTAAAGTACAAAATAAAGCCTTCAGACTAGAAACTGTTATGTCTGTATTTTTGAGTGGGGAGAGGCATTTTATTCCCATTCCTATGAACAGTTGGAGGGGCAAGGCAAGGGTACATCTATTACATAAAATAGTATGAGTTGTTCTCTTCTAAACCAAGGAAGCTACTTTGGAATCGACCTAAGTTAGGGCTTGCCTACACTAACTAAAAACACTGGACTTGCCATAAATGCATCTGTCAGTATCTACAAGAGGGGAGGGTGATGGCTTGTCCTCCGTGTTGCCTCCACCCTGCTGGCCAAGGGGCTCTATCCAAGTGACTGGTTCTCTGAAGGGGGTGCTCACATGATGAGTAAGCTTTTCTTCCTCACTGATCACATGGGAGCCCCATTCTGACATCACAGACAAGGGCCCAGTTCTCAAAGTGAGCTCTGTGACCGGTGGTGAGTGGTGGAGACATGGAGGAAGAGGTGACATCTCAGTGGGTATAATGTGACCCTGGCATATCTGGACAAATATGCTGGATCCCAAATTTATCTGGAGTAGCTTTAAACCATAGTAACCTGCTCAATGTGGACACAAGCTAAATGAAACAGAAGACAGCAATAGTATGATAGCTGGGACCCTATTCTATGCTGCTTGCTTAGCACGGGTCTGAAGTAAGGGAACATATGCGCAAGTGAGCGCACCGAGTGAGAGACGCAGCTGTGGTGGAGACGTTGCAATGGAAGGAAGGATAAAAAAGAAGGGGGAAAGACGACCAATGGAAGGAAGGATAAAAAGGAAGGGGAAAATACTGTTACATTACCTTATTCTTATCCTGTCCCTCCTGAGTTAAATTACTTCACTGCTATCCTGTCACAGCTGCGTCTCTCACTCGCTCCGTTGTCCCGCGCACGTGTTCCCTTCATTAATTCTGACCTGCGTTGCGCAACTAGTGTAGGGTCCCATCTATCATACTATTGCCCGGAAGACTGTCCCAAACATATCAGTGTCCCAACCTAACTAGGCAAAAATAAGGGCTTACTTATTTGGAAAATATGAAGACCCAGTTAGTTTACATCTATGGCCTTTGGAGCAATTTATTTCCCTGGTTTAAACATTAAAATCACTGACTGCACAGAGGCCAATGCCTTTGGTGTGTTTTAATGCTGATTTCCTGTTCTGTAGAACCACCGAAATAATCTTGTTGCATCTAATCACTGTAATAACTAACCTAAAGGAGTCATTAGTGAAGGTTCAAACAATATTCTAATATAAGTATACTGTGAAGAAACTGACATAATTTATTTCTGTGATTTATATTCTTGTGGAAATAAACCCGTCAGCCTCAGAGGAAGGTAAGGGCAAAACCACTCTGAACAAATTCTTCCAAGAAAGACCCATGAAAGATTCACATTATGGTCCCAGAAATGACTTGGCGGGAACCCTACAAAAATAACATTACATTTCTCTTTCTATGTACAAAACTTTTAGAAGCTGTGTTGTTATTTTTATCAGATAACTATCGGATAGAAAATTTTGAAACTTTCATATTGAGAGCTTACCTACACAATCTACACATTTCTCCAGGTTGCAGCCATGTTGTTTTGTTGAGAGTAAATAGCTGTATTTTTATAGGAGCTGCATAAACGACTCCATGATTTAATTCAGAAGCAGTTCTTATGGAAGTAGTTGTAGTTCTTTTACCATTGAGCATGTGATAGAATATCAGTAGGCTCAGTTTTTATCTTGAATTTTGTACACACTTCCATTCTAGAGAGAGATAATGCTGCAGTAGAAAGCAATATACCACTTATGGTAATCGGGAGTACTATCATGTTCCTTTATCAACTTTAATTCCTCTATGATATAATAACCCGTGGAAAATGTTGTGTCTATAGTGCTATTCATTATTGGTATATGAACACCTTATATTCTAGATATTCTCTCTATGGGATGATGGGAAGTCAGTACCTGTTTTATTATTGCATAAGCAACAATAAGAGGCAATATTTTTGATGGAATAGGCACAGCAGACTGGAATGCCACTTGTCATCATCTGCATAAAGCATTACAAACCCTACATTAGTGTGGTAACACCCAGAAACAAGTTTTTTTAATGCCTTTTTTTTCTTCCTTCCTTCCTTCCTTCCTTCCTTCCTTCCTTCCTTCCTTCTTGAAACTATCAAAATAATGATAATTACCATTATGATTATTTTCCCATTCTTCATGACTGAATCCATCCATGTTGGCTTCACCTTGTATGCCACAGAGTACTGTGGCAAACCTAGTGGTGGCACAGTGTGCCGGCAGGCCTGAAGACTGACAGGTCGGAGGTTTGAATCTGGGGAGAGAGCAGATGAGCACCCCCTATCAGCTCCAGCTCCCCATGCGGGGACATAGGAATAACCTCCCACAAGGATGGTAAAACATCAAAACATCCAGGCGTCCCCTGAGCAACGTCCTTGCAGACAGCAAATTCTCTCACACCAGAAGCGACTTGCAGTTTCTCAAGTCGCTCCTGACATGGAAAAAAATATTTTACATTGTTATACTACACTACATTGTTACACCAGATACACTACTCTATTTATCTATCTATCTCACCCAAGGGTTTTATAATTTTATCTCTTACATTTGGCCCAGCCCACTGCACTCAATTATTATTATTATTTTATCTTGTATGCTGTGTTTATCCTATTGTTTTATTATGTTATTGGTTTATTTTATCTGATGTTATTATTTGTAGTATGTATTTTGTTTTGCTTTATTATAA